TTTCGTTGGTGGCCTTGAAGAAGAGTTCTTCCGCCTTGACAAAGGGTGGTGTGGATCAACATTAGAGGGCTTGCATCTTCAAGCCTTAGCTTGATCATCCTCAAGTTTTGGAAAGCAAACAAGGTAACATCCATGCCTTAAAGCATGTTTCTTGATATGGTATGTGTTATTCCGTTCGAATTTTTTTTTTCCCTCTCACATGCCTCGACCTTCAAGGTCAGTTTCTTTCACTTATAAAATACCTCAAAATACCATTTAAACATATAGAACTTATTTCCACACAAATTTACCTCATATGGTCAATTTGCCTCTTATAAAGTTCATCAATTTTCTTTCAAAGTATCTTCATATTTTTATGACTTGAATCATCATTAAACTATCTAATAACTCTAGTTTCACATTGACAAACACACAAACACATGGTATACCTATTTTAACATCACATGGTCGATGCAATCTTTGTAGCTAGGTCATTCCATTTTTTTTTTGTTTTTCAACAATAAATCCATAAGATTTACCAAGAACCATCACCAAAAGATTCAAACTCCATCAATTTCATACCAAACCATATCATTTCACCAAGGTATAAATACCACCATATTCAGCCCAAACATAAAAAAATCTAACTAAAAATTAATGACAATAACCATCAAAAGATAGATTTTATACCTTATATGACTTCTAGGAGACTAGTTGATCATTTCCCCACCAATCAACACACCATCATGAAGAAAACATGTATGTCTAGGATAAGAGGAAGAAAAACTCAACAAAGACAACTCCTCAAGAAAAAAGAAATGGAAGGTTATGATCACAAAGTCACAAGGATTATTTTCTCTCACAAGCATCTTAGGTTTTAATGGCTAGAAGACAAGTTCTCAATCTCCCCTTTGTTCTCATGGAGGCTCGGCCAAGGAGAAGGAAGAAAGAATGTTGATCGTGTGTTTAAGGAAGAAAGAAACCGATCTACACTTAAAGGAATTAAAAAGCACATAATTTTTGACTTTTCCAAGCTTAGGTTATTCTAATTTCTATTGGTTGATTTTAATCACACTTTGACTTAATTTTAATAATTAATCTAATCATAATAAAAATAAATTAAGACCACTTAAAATCCATAAAAGTTCGTAAGGAATTTTATTACATCATTTAATTAAAGTTTAGACCAAGTTTTGCCTAATTGCAAAATGGTCGCTAAACTTTCACATAATTAGACTTTGACCCCTTAACTTGTCAATTATTTCTATAAGGGTCCTAATTGACTTTCTTGGCATGAATTGTATTCCCATAAATTATATCATGTTAATCGAATGATTAATTGATCAATTCTTACTTCGGAAACATACTTAACTTAAAACTTAAATAACTTAACTATAAAATTCCTTAATTTCCAAAACTTATGTAATTATATTCATACAGTCATACTTGTCTTACATGTTCAAATCTTAAGGGCATGAGTTGTTATATTCAGAAGAGGAGAAATTTTTTATGTCTGGAAATCATGATTACCAGGAATATGCTGGGAAAGTGAATTTTCTAGAAGTGTGACCAAAAAGCTGTTTGGTAGGCCAAAATATTACCAAAAATGTTTCCTCAAGTTTTCTGATTCTATATTTGGTTAATTGTCAAATATTATTGGAAATGTAGGGTGATTTTAAAAATTGCATTGTTGACGCTAGTGGCGCCATCACCGCGCTAGTGGTAAGGAGGCCAAAATATTTTCCCATCTCTCGGGAATCCAAGAATACCAACCCCCAGATGATATTCTTGGATGGCGTTTTGCCTTAAAAAGTGTTCACAAATTAGAATCATAGGAAAATCAGATTCCCGAAAAAAATTCACAGTCTTTATAGCAAACATGGATAAATAGGATTCCCAATATTATTTTCTTGGGAATCTAAAAAAATCCTTGTACCAAACGCTCCCAAACAACAATTCATTCTCCAAGTACACCTTTGATGGTGGCATCATGAAATATTGATGATGGGATTGTGACAATTGTGCAACAAAGTAAGGCCTTGAAGAAAGAGGAAGATTTTCTTGAGTGGTTGGATGATGTTGAAGGTGCTCAATTAAGTGATGGTTGGATTCCAAGCACAGAGTTAGAGGAACTGATAGGACTTAAGTACCAATAACTTGTATTAGATGGAAGTAATTTCGCGGATGGTTTTGTTGACAATTTGTTCCTTGATGAATCTAATGAATAACATAAGTTTGTAACTTACTATTTCCCTTGTAAGTACAATATATATTCCTCCGTAATCCTTCTCCTCCTCAATTCCCAACCTTTCTTTATAGACTTTGTTTATCTTGATGTGATTTAGTGAATCTGTGGTTCTTCAATTCATCATATATACCAAAAATTTGAGAATTATGCAATTCAAACCAGTTTAAAATTGGTTCAACTCGAACCAATTTGGAATTGATTTCGAACATGTTCTGAATCAGTTTTGAACCGAATCGAACTAATTTTGAACCAAACCGAACCTGTTTGAGTAAACAAAATTTGATTCTTTAAATCGAACCGATTTAAACCAATTTGGTTCGGTTCTATAAAAAATCTAATTCAATTTGACTTATGTCTCCCCCTAATTTTTTTTATTATCTTAAATCAGCAAAAGTATCACAGCACCAAACTGCGTCTTATATTGAGAATAGTTAATAATTTTTTCTCCGTTTATAGACATTAAATATTGTCTTATCAAAATTGGTGAATAGGGGTGTTCAAAATAACCAATTAAATCAAACCAAACCTTAAGTGGTCCAATCCATAACTAAAAAACTAGTTTTTTCTTTAAACAATTTTAAGTCAAACTATTTTTTATTTTTAAAAATGGATCAATTATCCAACCTTAAATAAATATGGTTATCCATAACTGAACCGTTTTAGCATATAATAAAAGGCCTCATCCTAATCTCTTAACTCCGTGATCCAACGACCTCCCCTAAGTTCTAGACCCTTCCACGTTTTAAAATTTCTAGATTTGGGGAGGATTTGTAGATGAAAGAGAGAGAGAACAATGCGGTCATACTTCATACAAGGTCAATGGGTTATGAGAATCTTATCAGAGGCAGCAAGAGGTCGACAATGATGCAGTTGATGGCTGTTTTGGGGTCCTAAAGAGGTAAGTAGCATTGTTATGATGGTTTTAAGATAAAATTGGTTTTGAGATAAAACTGATTCTAAACCCATTTTCAACCGATTCTTATTGAACATAATCAAATTAATAAAATCTAAACTGGTGCAGTTCAAAAATTCAAATTATATTACCAGATTATTTAAGATTGGTTCGATTCTCTTACTAAACCTATCCAAGCACATGCCTATAATGGTGAATAATTTTAAAATATGATAAGACAAATTATTTATTTCTTCAGCCTATTCGTCGAAAAATTTGATTAATCTAATTTAAATTATTTCGGAGTTGAACTCAAAAATTTGATTAATTTAATTTTTATAGCAGAAAATTATCCCAAATTGTAATATGAGATGGTTAATTTGTCCTTTTAATCTTTTATTTCAAGTGTGCAGCACACTGGTCCCGACTACGGCTATAAACGCGGCATGATTTTCCGCAATAAATGGTACGATATAAAAAACACTGCTCGGTGACAAAGCCTCCTAAGCACGGGTTTTGTTTGGGTGCACCTCTCGGTCGGTAAAACTGCGAAAACCATTGCTCTTGTTATTTTGACGAGATAGCATATTTTTATTATTAAATATTTTTTGTTATAAATTCTATTAAATATTTTTACTATCAATCTACTATCACTTTAATATAATTATATATTCAATAGAATACATTATAAACTTTTTTTTTCTCTTTCTTCAATTTTTTTCCAGAGACTATATGCTAAAAAGTGGAATCCAATGATAATAAAATGGTAGTAGATTGACATAGGAATATTTTGTACTAAAAATATCCTATCTCTATTTTTATAAGTTGTTAGTGTTTACATTTTTTTTATATTAACATTTTAATAGTTATAAAAATACAATAAATAATTAAAACCCTTATATATTTCCTGTGTAAAAAATATTTATTATTTTAAAAGATAAAATTTTATATCATTTTAAATAAAATTACCGTATTTATATATATATTTAATAATTTTTAAATTCTCTCTTTCATCAATTCAAAAAAATAGAGAAAAATGAAGTGTGGTAAAGGAGAAAAAGATAAAATTGCATCAAAATACAGTCGTTTTGTTTAAAATAATAACTAATAATTTTCCTTTTTGCATATGTCAATTTAATTTTTATTTTTTATAATTAATCCAACTCTAATTATTTTTTTAAAGCAAATTGACTCTTTCAATATTATAAATTTTGATTATTTAAGCTGACTAATTCAAAATATAGAATAGTTAAAAATAAAATATTTAAATATCTTATAAGGATGACATGCAGTAATAAAAGTTCCACTTATCCAACTTTTTTGTTAAACTACCATTTGGTATTTGGGAGAAGTATTTCTTCCGATTATCGGAGATAAAATTATTTTTAGTGAGCTGAAAATAATTTTATTGTGGAGTTATAATTTATAAAATTAAAAAATTATAACGATAAAGATTAATATAACCGTACAATATATTATAATTATAAAAATATTTTAATTTTTATCCTAAAATATCATCATTTTAGACTCACCAAAAATAACTGATAGTGTAAATCCTTTACCCTTGGTATATTTATTATTATTATTATTAATATGTTTTACAATTTGACTCGCCGACAGCTGCCATCTTCCGTCATTACCGGTCTAAAAGCCACGTGTCGTTACTCTTTTAACACTTTTTTGTCTTGTTCTTTTTTTCAGTCTCTGTCTATGCCTCGGCATTTTGAACTGAACCAAACAAGACACAAGTGCAAGTTGTGCTGTTCTGCTGCAACACTCTCACTCTCCACTCCACTCCACCCCCAAAAAAATGAATAAAAAATCTTCTCATTCATTTATTTTGTGCTTGCTTGAGCTTCTTCTCTAGGGTTTGGTTTCAAGAATCTGCACTCAGCAATTATAAAATGTTTAACTTCTTAAATAGGAAAGACGTCAGAATGATTCTCAAGCGCAAAGACAGCGATGCCGGCGAGAAAGGTACATTTTTTCTTTCTTTTTTTAAGAATCTATTCAGTTACAAATGTTTCATGTTTTGACATTCTTACCCATTGGTGTTTGTTTGCTTGTTTAATGTTTATGGCTGCATTTTGAACCGTTTTATCATATGGGCTTAGATGGTACACTAATGCTTTTGCTTACGGTCTTTGATAACGATTAGTGAGGGGTTGCTTTGCATAATGGAGCTTCTGGATTTCCCCCCACTCATAATTAAATGCTTTATGTGCAAATAATTGATTTATTTAAGTACAATTTCGTTTTTGATGAAGACTTATGGAATGAATTTGGGACTTACTTTCAAAATTCTTTTATGCGCTATGAAGAGATGAAGACTTTAAGTTTTAATCTTAATGTTTTTTCTTTTAATCTTTTGCTACTTATTAGATGCATGTTTCTTTCCCTGCTGAAGCAGCTCAAAACAATTTAGTTTTAGAGTAGAATCTAGTCTATGCGCCTCCTTATAATTCAATCAAAGCCTTGTATAATGTGTAGTTAATTTTGTGCTAGAAGCTAAGTTCTTAATACTAGTTAATTTTCTGCATAAATTTAAGTCATCTTCTCATTCAACCTATGAGGGGAAAAGTGAAAGTAATTACTTATTTAAGGTAAATCTATGATGTACAAAACAAAATATCCAAATAATGAAACCTTCCCCCATATATTCCATTACCTTTTTCTGGTCATTGCAGGAAGAGCTTTGGAAGACTTGAGAGCCTCTCTCTTTAATCGATTCCGTTCCTCCGAAGGTTCAAAACGTCAACAGCAGCGTATATGTGGTCCAGCTACTGCACTTTCCTTCAATTTTCTGGTTGCAATTGGTATTATTTTCATGAACAAAATGGTTTGTTTGCTCTCATTTCTTTTTATGTGGTTAAGCTGTGTTCTGTTTTGAAATTTCAGTGTAGAATGATTTTTAGTCGCTGATTTTCATGGGTTTTTCTTTTTCTTCTTTTGTTTCAGGTGCTTCAAACTATTAAATTCAAATTTCCTATACTTCTCACACTAATTCACTATTTAGTGAGCTGGTTCTTAATGGCTGTACTAAATCAATTTTCTTTACTTCCTGCATCTCCTTCCTCAAAATCAACTCCCTTGTCTACTTTATTTACTCTTGGATTTGTTATGTCTCTATCTACTGGCTTTGCTAATGTCAGCTTGAAGTATAATAGGTAATCTAACTATTCACATTTTTATTTAAAGTCTATGTTTTATGCTCTTAATTTAATTTCTATATCTTCAGCATTGGTTTCTATCAGATGGCAAAGATTGCAGTGACACCGTCAATAGTTTTGGCAGAATTTGTATTGTATAGGAAGAAAGTTTCTTTGGCCAAGGTATATGCACTCACTTTGGCACGTATTTCTGATAATAATAAATAGGAATGTATGGGTCTGGCAGGAATAAGAGCTTTTATAACTAACACATATGAAACATGTGCACTTTTTGCACTATGAAGTCCTGAAAGCATCTATAATTTTTAATTAAAACAACATAGATCAAATTGCTCCTGTCTTCCTTCAGTATGAGGCAAAGTGCATGACCAATTTATAAAGCATGTCTGTCTATTGGACACCCTTCTGAATACTGATACTTATATTGCATCCTTTAAAAATTCAAGTGTGAGTGATGAATAATGAAGTCCTACATTGGTTAAGAATGTACTAAGTAGGGACCATATAAGCCGAAGGACCATAAACTTAATGCTTTAAAGTTTTGAGTTAAAATGTGGTGTTGAGTCCTCTTGTTGTGGTTTTGGTTTTCCGCTTAACCCATCGGTGGTGGTCTCCCCTGTTATTGACTCCCCCTGTTGAGCTACCAGCATCTATATGTTTGCGGAAGATAACTAAATGTCTGAAGTCATATGGGTGCATCTTTAAATTGTTGTTGAGAAAAGGGGTCTAGCCACTGCACCATAGTTATAGTATTTGTTATTTATTAGTTTGCATAATATTGTTTTAGGGATCTCTAGTATCATCCTGTCAAAAAGCTTTGTTTAATTTTGTTAGTCTATATTCTCTGCCAACAAATGATACGCCAATTCTATATTCTAGAACTAAGTTCCACTGTTTTCCTTTAGGAACTTTTGTAATGTATTGTTTATAAAAGGGGTTTACTTTTTATGCTTATCTCATTTTAGGTTGAAATGCTTACTACATATAAGATTTGAAACTTTACAGGCATTAGCATTAACGGTGGTATCTATTGGTGTTGCTGTGGCTACGGTGACTGATCTGCAGTTCCACGTATTTGGTGCTTGTGTAGCGTTGGCCTGGATTGTTCCTAGTGCCGTAAACAAAATCCTCTGGTCTAGACTACAGCAGCAAGAGAACTGGACAGCTTTGTCGTGAGTAATTTATTACATCTTTGTATTTTACCACCCTCATCTCCCATACCAATTCTTGGTGCTGATTTGCAATAGAAAATTTCTTTCTCTATCTTGTCTGATTTGTGGGTTGTATTGACAGGCTGATGTGGAAAACAACACCTATTACTTTGATTTTCTTGGCTGCTATGTTACCCTGCTTAGACCCTCCAGGTGTACTGTCCTTTGATTGGAACTTCGGAAACACTTTGGTGATTTTCGCATCAGCTATTCTAGGATTCTTGCTTCAGTGGTCTGGTGCTCTAGCACTAGGGTAAGTGACATTTCTAGTTGCGAATAATGAAAAAAGAATATCTGTTTCTTGTAGACTGCATAAAACCTGTTTTGTTGAATTTTATAGAGACATCACTTGTTTATGATCAATTTAATGGGCTGTGTAGAACACATTGATGAAGTTTTGTCTTGATTTAAGAATGAATAGACCTCCTAGGGGCCAAACAAAAAGTGGCGATTCTTGTTCTATTATATTGAAAGAAACATTCATACTGACACACTTATGCTTTTCTCTATAGTTATGGGCCATTTACTGAGCGATTCAACCAAAGTTTGTACTAAATTACTTTGCATGATTATGAGCTAATACTAAGTTACTAACATTGAACTTTAGGGCCAAGTACACAACAGAGAATCAAGTATGAAAAGCTTGTAAACCTTTTTTTGTTCTTTAAAAAAAACCTTAGACTATTTACTAAGAAGTTTAGCATAGCAAATTTATTCAATTCATTCATCATGTGTTTTCAAGTGTTATGTTTTCGATGCTATTTCTATGTAACATACAAAACATTATGGTATCATGTTTCTGTTTAGCTGAATACATTGTGTTTTACTTATCTTTTAAGGATTGGCTTCTTCATACTTTTTTCTCTCTTTTTTACCTTGCAATTTACAGTGCTACATCTGCCATTTCGCACGTAGTACTTGGACAGTTTAAGACATGCGTTCTCCTCCTAGGAAACTATTATCTCTTTGGATCCAATCCTGGCAAAATCAGCATCTGTGGAGCATTCACAGCTATTGCTGGCATGTCCGTTTACACTTACCTTAATCTGATACAGCAATCAAACAAGATATCTCCTCGACAGGCTTCCACTTTACCAAAATCTAAACTCGGTAAAGAAAATGGCAGCACCCATGATGGACATTACGGGGCAGAGTCTGTCTAACTATATGCATGACTCTGCATTACATGCAATGATGATATGACACATTTAACAAACATTTTTTTTTTTTTTTTATCTTGTTCCTAGATTGTGATCTAACCATTTTGGGGGTTGATAGTGATGTGTAAACTATAATATGTGATCAGAGATGCACTAGGTTACATGGGTCTATCCCACATGTCAGCTACAGCTCTTAGTTGGTGTTGAATATCATAGATACAAGAGGAAATGATAGTAATCCTTGTTATATTAAACTATACAACATTGGTGCTATTATATAGCAAACCAATTGAAGAATACAAAGAGACACACTTAATGTGGGATTTCTACACTATTAACACTAACACTCTTAACACTCCCCCTCAAGCTATAGCATATAGATCATATGCTACAAGCTTGATACATAAATAATACTCCCATTAGGAACCAAAAACAACAATGCTACATCAACGAAATGAAATAACTAAGTATAACAAATCAAATGGAATGACCATCAGTCTGAAGAGCTGATAAAGAGACAGTGCTGGAATGGACATCAGAGCATGGATGGTGCCGGAATTATCATCGCCAAAGACAACTGAGCTGACCAGGACATCAGCATCAAGATCCCTCTCAGACATTTCATTTAACAGTTGGTGAGCAGTCGTGGTTTCCCCTTGACTATGCTACAAGCTTATTACAAGAAAGACCAAGTAACATAACATCAAAATAAATCTCCTAAATGAGAAACCAAAAATCAACAATGTGCTAAAAATGGTTGAAATGAACATCAACATGGAAGATGCCGGAATGATCATCGACAAAGACAATTGTGCTGGAATGACCATCAGCAACATGGACGGTGCTCCCCCTCAAGAGGAACTTCTAAACAGTGCCGAAATTATCATCGGCAAAGACAATTGTGCTGGAATGACCATCAGCAACATGGACAGCGCTCCCCCTCAAGAGGAACTTCTAAACAGTGCCGGAATTATCATCGGCAAAGACAATTGTGCTGGAATGACCATCAACAACATGGACAGTGCTCCCCCTTAAGAGGAACTTCTAAACAGTGCCGGAATTATCATTGGCAAAGACAATTGTGCTGGAATGACCATCAGCAACATGGACAGTGCTCCCCCTCAAGATGGATGATGAATAATATGAATACTCCATCTTGGGAAGAAAGAAGATTAAAGAAAAATAAAGCTTCGCGGAATCGAAAAAGTCGCCGGAGGTGGGTCGTCGAAAAAGTCGTCGGAGACGGTGGTGGATCGCCGAAAAAGTCACCGGAAAGTCATCGAAAAAGTCGCCGGAGACGGCTGTCAACGGTGGACGACGCGGTCAACGGTGGTCGGTCAACGACAAAGGTGGTCAACCCAACAACTTCCCAAGGATCATTCTTTTCTGATGTGACAGATCAGTCTAAGCTGCAGTCACAGAGCATACTAAGAAAAACCCGAAAAAGAAATAGCAACGGGAATCCCTCAAGGAGGGTGATATCTCTCTATAACCATATTGAAATTATGGAAAATAGAACTAAGTTAAACGGATTAAGATTCCTCTTGTTAGGCTCTGATACCATGTTGAATATCATAGATACAAGAGGAAATGATAGTAATCCTTGTTGTATTAAACTATACAACATTGGTGCTATTATATAGCAAACCAATTGAAGAATACAAAGAGACACATTCAATGTGGGATTTCTACACTATTAACACTAACACTCTTAACCGTTGGAAACATGGAGCACCATCTGTATATGAATGATTTGGTGGATTCCTTGCTAGAACTAATTTTTTTCTCTAGCTTTTGTAATAGGAGCTACAGCTGCATTTTGTTGTAACAGAAAACAAATATTGCTTTGTGGCTTTTATTATGGCTATCACCATTTGCTGCAATTCGTCATGGGGCTTTCATGGCTACCATATTTTTAGAATCTTATACATGCTATGCAACCTAGGTTTGTTAAATTTCGTTGTTTGAGATTAGGACTTATAAATGGATTGTGGAGTAAAACGTTTACCATGTGTAGTAGAGGAATATAATGAAAGTTACAATATTCGTAGAACATTCCCATTCCCGCAGACCAGAGAAGTTGTATATCTGTTCGAAGAATACCTGATTGAATTAAAATTGTTGAGATTAAAATTACGTATGTAAGTCTAGATAAACTTAAACATGTTTTAATATATGGTTAGTTTGTCTAAATTTTGGTTTTGAAGTAGTTTGATATTAGATGGCTCTTAAAAGTTGCATTTATTTATTTAACATGTCATAATATCATTAGAAAGGGGAGTTTGAAGCGGAAACTGTCTATATTTGTCAACTATGTAATGGTAAAGTTATGTATAAGAATTGTTCTTATCTCATCTTTCCTAGTCGGGATTTAATGGAAAGCAATGATCATACTATGAATATCATTATAATTTTACTGTCAACTTCATCTTCATATATATTGAAATCAAATAAATAATAACAATTTTTAAAAAAAATTAATTGATTACCAAACACATGAAATCTTAAAACTGTTCCTATTGTATCTTGTTGGATATTGGCAAGCATCCCTACTCAAATCAAATGCATAGTCTTTTGCAAGAATCTATCTCCTGTCAAGATTAAGTGTTCTTCTGCCTTTGCAGAATTACAAATATTTTTATTAATAATTAACTATAAAAATATTAACTTCTTTTATTTATTTTTTCTTTTTATCTTAAATATTTGTACGTGAAATGTAAACACAATAAATTTTTTTAATTTGGTTCTTATAGTTAACTGTATTATAACTCTAATGTACAGTATTTTAATAGTTTAAACACATAAATTAATAACATGTTTGGTAATAATTTATTTTAAATACATAATTTATTTTTTCAAAAGCTCTATTCGTAAGAAAAAAAATGTTCGACCTTAAAATAAAAATATCTTTGTACAAAATTACATTTACAATTAGTTTTTAACTTTGTTAAAATTTCAAAGACCCCATTTAGCTATATGCCTTGTATTAATTTCCCTCAATTTGGACGGAGATTCGAAGTCATTGCCTATTCTTTGTTACTTCATTTGAAGCCAATGACTTCACGCAGATATTATGGTAGGCCAAGAATGTTGGCTTCTCACCAAGTGTTGTCTACAGGTGTAGAGGTGTAAATGGGTCAGGCTGGGCCGGCCTTTGGCCTTTTCGATCTAAGCTTACATAAAAAAATATTCAGGCTATCTAGTCTATTGGCTTACTAAAGGCTTTATTCATAGACCAAGTCTGACCTATTTTTAAACATTATAGAGCCTTATATGGCCTACAGGCTTTGTAGGCCTCCCTAGTGATATATTTTTAAATATTTTTAAAAAAATTTAAAAATATTTTTAACAATTTTTAAAATATTCGCTTGACATTACAAGTCATTAATGTGTTTATAAATTGCTGCATTTTTTACACGAGATATAAATTTACTAGTGAGCATTAAAAATTTTACAATAGTAAAAAAAAATAACTAATCCAAGCTCAGAGATGAGAGATCAGTTGCCAGAGAAAAGACGAAGCTCAGAGAAGGGAGAAGTGGCGTTGCACAAAATAATTTAGGGTTGGTATTGATTGCCACCTAAAATAAATATATTAGATGAGGTAGGATCCTTTGCACCGGTGTTGGAGCACGTGTTGGAGCGTTGACCGCGTGTCCCAAAATATTGACCGCATATCGGTGTCCGTCACGTGTCCAACACGCAAACTTTTTTAAAAAAGCCGTGTCCGTGCATTCTAGCTTTGGACGCGAAACACAATATTTTTTTTTAGTCTCCCACCCAAAACGACTAGTTTTTAAGTGATAGGACATAATGTATGATCCTTTGACACCAATCTCAAACATAGAAGTTTGACATCAAATTTAATCGTTGATTTCTATCAATCGACGGTTATAATTTATTGAAAATTACTAATTAATTAATATTTGTTCCTTTTTTATCTTCCTAAAATACAACTTAATGCCTGGAGTCCTATCAATATGCATTAATAAATGATTTGATATCTCATCCCACAATAATAATAGTAATGCGTTTAGGGTCCATTTGTGTGGTACGAATAAAAACACATAATAATGAATTTACTCTTACCTCTAATTTGCTTGATGCGCTAATGTTCTAAGCTTCCTTTCTGTTAGTGATGGTTAAGAGAATAAGGCTCTCTTTGATTATTGTTTTTAAAATCAGTTTTTTAATTTTCAGAACAAAAAAATTAAAAAACTCGTTTGGTAGCACATGTTTTTGTAAAAAATATTTTGAAAACTATAACTGTTTTTTTGTTTTTAGAATCAAATTTACAGAACATGTCTGAGTTGTTTTTGTTTTCTGTTTTTATTTTTAACTTTCAAAAAGAAAAAAAATATAGAAAACAACTGTTTCCATAACTATCTTTCAAAACAATTTTAAGAACAAAAAAATCAGAACACAATCAAACAGGCCCTAAGATTTTATAATAAGTTTAACTGTTTAAGTTTCTTGTCCATTGAACAAAAAAGAAAAAGTCACCATATAAAAAAAAATCATTTACTTGCTTCAAAACCACTCTTGGTATAAAATGCTTCAAAATTGAATGTAGAATGCCAGCACAAATCAACTCACTTAAATGCTCAGTCACGACCACTATCAATGATTCCCAGTAACATACGCACAAAGAATATGGTTCGAATATATATAGGAAAGAATATTTTTCCAGCAGGTGCTTCAAAGTTCAATTTTATTTTTTTTTCGGTCGTCCCGCATGGAGAAAAAAAAGGTGACACATTCCTTTGCAATTCTCATGCTTCTTTCATATTTTTCCAGAAAACAACATAGAAAGTTTAGTTTTTGGAAAAATGCAGGTGGTATGACCTTGAGAAATAACTCAAGTGTTGAACAAGAGTGTGTATTGTAGGAGAAGAACCAGCGGCGGCAAAGGAGAAGAAGAACGAAGTGGGAAATCGACAAAGAGGGAAAGAGCAAACAGCCAAGAGAGAAGAACGAGGGATAACTGTCGTTTCGTTTAAGATTTTAATTTTAGAATAAATAATTTTTTT